TTCTCAACTTACAACAGTTCAAAGTTACAACTTCACTGAAAAAAATGTAACTTAGGATCATTTTTCACACTTAAAATCATTACAGCATCCCCATGGTCATGTGACCAAAATTCAGATGTTTGGTAGCTGGCTTGTATTTATGATGGTTGCAGTGTCCTGGGATCATGTGATCACTTTTTTTAACCTGGTTCGATCTATTCAGGGCATTCAGTACTCACTTGTGAAGGCTGGCCATGATAAAATACTTCACTAAAGATGTGATAGCCAATGAAGGAAGAGTTTTGTAGTAGTACTGTTTGATGGGAAATATTGTTGTTGGGAGCCATTTTCTGTAAAGGCCTGAAAAGAGGCTGCAGCTCTGATGCTGAATTTGATGCTCACCAAATATTCTGAAATAATTCCTATAACTAGGCCAGTGTACTGTGATTTCTAGTTGGCAGAGGCAGGTTGCAACATCAGTATACACAGGAGAAAAATTTGCTGCTCAGGAAAAACTGCAGGAGAGAATAGAGTCATGGAGAGCTAGTCTTTGGTCACCAACAGGAAACGGTCCTGGCTCTTTAAGACTGCAAGGGTCTCAAAAATTGCCCTGAAGTTTTGCTGGAAGAGCTGAAGTGGCCGGGTAACTCATGGTATTAGAATGTCCAATTATTACCCATCCGAATAGATGAAAATCCCCATTTTCCAGTGTACAAAGAAGTTGAAGCTCCCCAACCTGAGATGCTCTAGGCCCATGATGGCGAACCTATGGCATGCGTGCTGGAAGTGGCATGCAGAGCCATCTCTCCGGGCATGCCAGCCGTTGCCCATTGCTCTTCCACGCATGGGCGCCAGCCAGCTGGTCTTCGCACATGGAACTACTGGAAACTGGAAGAGCAGCTCCCTGGTACGCATGTGTGCCAGGAAGCTGAGCTTCCAGTTTCCAACATGCCAACTGATCTTCACATGCGCATGCATGCCAGAAACTGGAAGACCAGGTGGCCAGCGTGTATGCGCATGCCGGAAACCAGAACCTCAGCTTCCCAGTACGTGCATGCACAAGCAGGGGAGCTGCTCTTCCAGTTTCCGGTGCTCCTACAAGCGTGTGCCAGGGAGCTGCTCTTCCGGTTTCCGGCACTCCCCCACATGCATGCCCCCCTTTTTTGCACTTGGTGCCCAAAAGGTTTGCCAACACTGCTCTAGGCACTGTCCCCTTTTGTACTGGAAAAAATAAATAAATAGGAAATGGCATTTTGCAAAGAAGACAGGCTGTTTTTAATTGAATTTTCTCTTGAGTTCCAAGCCACAATTTCTTTGGTAAGAGTCCTTGGTATTTTGTAGAAAATGTTATAATTCAGGGCTATAGCTCTAAGGCTTTGATGGAGGTAGGAATTCCAGTCCCTTGTGGCTTCCCCAGAAAGCTTCATCTTTAAATTCCTGAGTCATGGTTTTCAATTCCTGGTCATGAGGTTTGGATTTAAGCACCATCTCTTATGCTAACACAGGGATTTTTACACAGGGAGAAAATGCCTAGCAAAGACCGAAATGTTACATTTTCCAGCCTGGGGCAAATCTCTTGGCTCCCTAGATTTAACTGCTGATGGTACTAAGGAGATGCAAGGAGTCTGGATTGTGTGATCGCTGAGCAACTTGTATCCTCCAGCTGGCAAACAAAATGGCAGGCTTTGTCTAGAGTGAAAGGGCATAAAGATGGGGGATGTGTAGCATTTGGCAATTTTAAAACTTGGACTCAGTGGCTTTATGGTAGGAGCTTTAGACAACGACATTCCATTATGGAATAAGCACAATGCCTTTTGGATTATAATTACTGTATAGCAATTTAATGTACAGCAAGACTATGTGTAACTATGTGCTTGTTCAATCAGCTTTTTTGACTTTAGAAGAGGTTGCAAAATAAAGAAATGCTGTGATGGACAGTTGTCTCTAGAGGGCTCCTGAATGCCCATGTGTTCTGACCCAAGTCATACTGGCAAGTTAAAGAGGGTCTGTTTATTGCTTATTTATGGCAGTTACAAACAACCCCAATGGTGCCGGTGAAGCTCTGCCCCAGCCCTGTTTTCCCTCAGTCTGGATTCACAAACTAAGCACCAGCTGACCTAGGAGGCAAGAGGGAGGTAACAATACTAACAAGTCCAGAGTTCCAGTGACCACAACACAATGCAAGAGTGTGAAGTCCTGGAGCCAAGTCCAGGTCCACAAGAGTCTAAGATTCAGAATCCAAATCACAGTCCAAAATTCAAACAACAGGATCCAGGGAAGAAGCACATTAAAACAAGCAGGAGTTCCCAATAAACAGATTTTCCCTCAGCGCCTTGCTAAATCACCCTTCCCAGCTGCTCCTTGTGAGAACGGAGGGACTGCTTCCTCACAAGGAACCTCGCTGATCTCCTCTGTGCCTCTTTTCGCTCTGCTCTTCACATTCACAGATTGAAGGGGAGGGAGCTGTTCCTCATCAGAGATGGTGTGGAGTTCGTCATCTCTGCTGGCACTCTGCAGCTGCTCCACTCCTGCAAGTGGCTCTCCAACAGGTTGGCCACCACCTTCCCCCCATTGCCAGATGGCCCTGGGACTGCCTTGTCCCTAGCGCCTAGACTCTCAACTTGTTTGGAGAGGATTGTATCCTCCCCCATCTTCCTCCTCCTCTGAACCGGGATCCAACGGAGCCATGACACCATGCCAGCCCAGATATGACCCTGAATCGGTTGCTTGTTCATTGTTCCTTTGGGGAACAGTGTCCAGCCCTCACTATTAGGCTCATATAATATAATAAGGTTACTAAAACTATTTGCATTTATATTTTAAAATGTACAGCTCTTTTTAACAATGTAAATATTTCCCCACATCAATCTTGCAAGGGGGGGGGGGTTTAGATGGAGTGAGGATGATGGTATATATCCTGTTCACACTAATCTTGTCTCTTTACTATTGTAGTAGCTAAAGTAGAAGTACCTTGGTTTAGGAAATTATCCAGGAGATCAGGGTAAATGGCATACTTGTCTGCTGGGCAGATTATTATGAGTTCTTGTTAATATTCTGTGTGAGTATACACTTTTCCTGAAGTGTCCTACTTCCTAGAATTAGTTGCTTGCATGATGGAAATGGGACATTTCTTTAAATGGAGACCAGATTAAAACACTAATACCACAGAGTACAAGTAATCAAATGAGATTCAGAACCCGCCCCAAAAGGTTAATTCTTTCAACACATTATTTCTCTATATCAGCAAATTAGCAAATTCATTCTACCTACCTTATTCATTCTACCTATAATATGCAAATATCATGCATCAAGTATGATGCAAATATAAAATAGACAACATGAAACCATATGCATTCTTTTTAATCTTTATATCTTTTCCTTCTCTAATGTTTGTATTATATATGATACATGCTTTTATTTTTAAATACCCCTTTTCTTTTTTCATTTTGTCTATACAAGAAACCATTTGTATGTTTATCTGTACTTACGACCTTGTTTGAAAACAGTAAATTCCAGAAAGTATCTTCTAGCAAAATAAGCATAAAGTCAGTGTAACCATTAAAAAAGCACAAAGTGTAAGTCTTACCTGCATTGTATAGAGAATCAGTTTTATATGCTTCTGTTGGTTCATTAGATTATATAACTTAGTGTGAAAGGCATTTATAATTAATTCCTGCTACTTTCACATTGGACCATCCTAACTTGACTAGTCTGATTAGAGCAGTCTATAGCTATGGACCTATGGATTAATCAAAATATTCAGAGGTGCTGTTCCTACTCCAAATTTAAGGTGAATTTTTCATTTTGTTATCCTAATGTAGTACCTAAAGTATCAACATCAAACACATCATTGGCAGAGGCTACTGAGTGAAATCTGTGAGTGAAGTAGATAGTCAACATGTCCAAAATGGGTTTTAAAATATGAAAACAGCAGATTAATTCATTGATATCGTCCTTTTCTCAACCTATGCAAATATTTGTGACTGCATGAGTAATTTGCTACTTTCCCAATACATGCATTTCAAAATGCAAATATTTTACTACATGAAGTCTTATATTTTGTTTTCATCCAGATGGTAGACAATAATAAATGACTCAGGGTTTACTTATACACCTTCCTTCCTTGCCGTTTCAGAGATGTGATAAAAAAACTACTTTCATAGTAGTGGGAAAGTGTGTATTGAAAGAGTGTGAGAAAGAGACCTGAATGGAACACACGGAGGGCATTGTAACTTCAAGTATGCAAGGAATATGGACATCTTTATCTTGCCATATTAATATGATTTGAAGGAGAAATATAACCACTCATTTCAAGACAGTGTCATTTGTTTAGGTCTGGAGTTAAAAGTATTGCATAAAAGCTTTTGTTTGGACAGTGACAATATTTCTGTTCTCCAAAAATGCTTTGTTTATGGAATAGACCATGCTTGTTTGGGTTCACATAAATGAGGTCATTTCCCTACTTGTGACTTTAAAGTGCTGTTGTGCCAGAATCTGAGTAGCAAGAATAGGCTTTATATTGATTCAACAATAGTTGGGTGACGTTATAAAAACGTTGTAAATCATTAGTGAGGAAATGACCCAAGTCAAACATAGGCTTGTTTGGTTTTCATTAACAGGTCTATCTGGGCTCACAAGCAGTCAGTCTTTAAAAGCTCCCTTAGTAGTTTGACATGGATGCTCAAAGTGTTGGGAGTGCCCTTTTGGATCTTCTTCATCAGGTCTGAATCTCCCTCCCCCCCCCACATGCTTGCTTCTTGAATGTGCTAAGAAAAGGCCATTCAAAGATTATTCCTGGGGTACATTACAATTACACCTACAGCAATATTGTGCCAGTGAGTAGAGGATATACCTTCTTTCCAGAACAGATGAGATTGCAGTGGTGTCTGTGGAAGGGGAGGGAGGAGAGAAAGGAAATTGCAGGGCATGACAGTGCTATCACAATCACTTATGTCAGGCCACATGGGAAGCTTCTGGGAATCTTACAAGATAAATAAAGACCATCACTTTAAATTAATTCTGTGCAGAAGCCAATAGACTGGATTTATTGGAGCACAACTGAAGGAAATTGTGTAATCAATTAGGCTGATATTTTTTGCATTTTCACGTTTCTCATTGTTTTGCAAACTAGACTCCTTCAACAAATAGAGGGTCCAACTATTTCTAGGGTAGAATGCACACAGTAACAACTTTCCTTAGCAGCAACAATAGAAAATTGGCAGGATTTCTATGGCCTGGCATTTGGCCAAAGGTCAAAATGAGTGTTAGAATGGCTGTTGCTCTGAACCTCTTTCCCTTCTCTTCCTTATAACAAGGTGTGGCATGCTATCCTTAGACAATGTTTTTGTCCTGCCCTCACTCCACCGCAAACTATGTTAAGTAGGGATCAGGAGGCATACAATGTGGTGACATCACACAGGATTGTTTTAAGTTTTTAACTTCCTCATAAAAAAATGAGGAAAATAGAGACGAGATGCAAAATAATGAGCCACTCCCAGCGTCTTTTAAAAAATAGTTTGGCCCCGTAATGCCAAACCAGTGCTTGCAAAACAACAACTCCTGCCAAGTTTTAATTACTATGCCTAGCATGTAGGTCATCTTATTTGGATAAGAAATCACTTTCCTACATAACTGATAAGGGAACAGTGGCTAATCTGAATTAGGATTATGAAAAACTCTGGAGGACAAGCATATTTATAAAAAGGAAATTGCGAGACAGATTCCTGGAAATCAAATTTAGGTTTGCAAACTCATACCTCTTCTGAGGGTATAAATGGGATTACCTTTTGAATTATATAGAAAAGGGCCCAAAACATGCATTTTGGGCAACTGTTAAGTCTTGCTGAAGCCATGCTCAAAATTTCTCTCCTGGCCCGTTCTTAGGAAATACAAGTAATTTGCTTGTGCTAATTGTTGATTTAATAAAAATTCAGATTCTGAGTGTGTGGGTGGAGAGAATTTATCTTGTTTCTGAATCCCAAGGCAAGATTTCAATGAAATCACAAAATTATAATCAAGATCAAAACCAAACAACCTAAATCCCACAACTTTCAACCTTAATTCTTAAAGAGCTCATTATTAAAATAAGTTACCTAGGAAATTCAACCAAACTTCCCCCCCAAAAAATTGTTGGTTATTTTTTCTTCATTTTCCCCTTCCTTTTTTTTTTAAAAAAAATTAATGCTTGGAACATGATCTTACTGAGCCATTAACTTGGAAGTGCCCTGTGATACATGTGATACCTTTGTGACATAAAGTCACACCCAGACAAGTTTGAAAACTAAAGTGAAAGCTCTAAATTTAAGGTTTATATTTGGCACTTCTAGCTTGCCATGAGATTTCTCGTTTAAATTTCAAATGCCTTGAAATGTGATAGTCTTGTCAAAATTACATTGTTCATGATTTTGCGCAGCTATTTTTGATGGATGTGAAAGAAATGAGTAAGATTTTCATTCTGATGAAGGGAGGAAACCTGAAAACAGGATGAGTTTAAACTCTATTTGTACAAACTTAAGAATGTTTTAGTTTGAGGTCTTCATTTAGAGTTGTAGGCATAGGAATTGATATTCTATAGATTTCTTTAGAGTTAGTCAGCTTTTAATTGAGGACTCTAATTCTGTGGGTCTATTTAATAATGAAAAAAGAACCTTTCTGGATCTGAGAAGATTCCCAAGCAGGACAGGAATACGAATCTTCTCATGCTACCTTATCCTGAAGGGAATAATTATGAATAGTCATTATCTTCCACAATTTCTTCTTAGAACTATCCACTGTCTTTCTTCTAGTACCCAAAGTTACTACTGTATATCTAGAATAAAAAAATCTGGATGACCACACGATGGCAACAAATGATTGGATTTGTCTCCCACTGCTGCTACCTAGTGGTATTCTGAATTTCTGCAGCCAAATTCTGCATTTGTTTTGAACCAATTTAGATTTGTAGCTTTTTCAACTAGGACCAACTTGGTGCTTGATCATAGTTTACCTTGGACTAATCAACTTTTCATCCTAACATTGTGAGTGAAACACCTTTCCCAATAGTGCTTTTATTCAGTTGTCCTTTCCCACATCTAATAGACTTCCCCCACCAAAAAACAAGTTTTTCAAATGCTTACCTGCTTTCTTCTAAAAAAACTATTTGTTAACAAACTTTTGTGGAAAAGTACAGGCAGGATTTATTTGATTTGCTAATGCTGCCAAATTCAGAATGAAGTATCAACATCCTTCAGGATGTACACATTTCCCTCCCCATATTTATACTTACATACTAGCCCTTTCCTCATTATCTGGTTTCTAATTTCTTTTAACATATGCTACTGATTTACAAAATTTTCATGGAACCCTGTTTCTAATACACTGATCTGTAACCATTTAATTTATTAATGCAAGTTGAGTGGTGGAAAGAAAAACATCTTACCTAAATCCAGATGAAATTACAAGTTTGCTTGATCATAGTCTATGTAAGATAAAAAATATTCAAGGAAACTGAGGGATATGACATTATGCATTAAAACCAAAACATTCAATATTATTTTACATCAATAAGGCTAGAAATCATTTCCAAACTGACTTTTTCTTAAATGACTGTTTTCTGGGTTAAAACCCAATGGCCATATAGCCTGATTATTATTTTACTTGAAATTATCCTATTTCGGCTTAGTGACGGTGTTGAAATTATCCTTTCAAGATCAACTGTTCTTTGGATTTTCTCAGCTTTCCAAGGTATGGGAAATTACGCCAGAGATATATTTTTGCTGCAGCACTTACATCAGTTCTGAAAGGGTGTGGAACATTTTGAAATAAAAGGTTTCAAATATTCCAAATTCAAACTTACATTGTTTTGAAATTGGACAAAATAGTTTTATTTGGATTTTGGTATAAATTCAGTTGTTTCAAATGGTGGCAATTCTATGCTCCAATCACAGAATGCAATGGGAAGCTTCAAGTAGTCCACTTTCTAGAAATATTTCAAAAACTTCCTTGAAAGGTTGGGGGGGGGGGGGCAACCTTGAGAGTGGCTTTTGAGTTTTTGTTTTGAAAACTTTCTTAATCAGTTTAAATAAAACAGGTTTTGTTTCATTCTTTCTAATTTTAACATAGGGATCCAACATTTTTGGTTTGGTCAACCAGACCTCCATTTATTGCTTTTAAGCAGGCTCACTAAACAACCTTATTTTTAGTGGTCTCAGATCTGACTCTGCTCTTCCACAAAAACCTGTGTTTAAAAACTCAGTGGAATGTGATGTATCTTCTGCTACTTTTTATAACGTTTTGTAGAAAAGAATGAGCGATAGATTTTGGTGTGCTCCCACCATGGGAACTCATTCTTACAATTAGAATTATGGGGAAGATGTCATAATGAAGAAAAATTTCTCTAGAATCAGGGTAGGATTTTTCTCATAGAACTAAGCAAGCACTAAGCACTTGCTTAATTATGCCAAAGCAACCCTGAGCAAACTTCCCTTCAAGTAAGTTAAGTTTTGAATGCTCTGGGTCTTTGCCTGAACAAAACTACTGTATATACCCCAAATGATATGCTTTGTTCTGAATTATGTCTATAATTAAAAATAAGTTTTTTTTTGTTAGAGTGTGACTAAGTCCCTTAGTGGACAGCTGACTTTTTTATTTTAAAAATTTCAAGTAAGTAGCTATACACATCTTGATAAAACTATTAGGTTAAATGTACTTGTATATGTTCGAAATGAATGATGATAATAAATAAATGATTGATGCTGTCAATAACTTTATGGAGTGTATAAAATTATATTTTCCTTGATCTAAACAATAACAAAAATGTACTTGTGGCATGAATATATACAACACAGGTCCTGACATATATTTAAATTACCTTAGCCAGCAGTGCTCAGTTCAATTTTTTTAAATGGAGAAAATATAATAATAAATAAAAATGTTAAATATTTACATTAAAAGAATATGTCGAATCAGTAGATGAACACATATATCCAATTTTCACAGAGAGAAAAAAGGAAAATTAGCCTTGTGTGATCTCCCTCCCCCCCAAAATTCTTAACGTTATTTGTGAAACAAATATTAACATCACTAGATCACAGAAGATAAATTATATGCACACTGAGATGATCTGCTGACATTCAATGGTACATACATGTTTAGATTCCCAGATAGACTTCTCAAAGACTGAAATTTAGAAGTTGGGAATCATACTAATAGATCTTTGGGCTTTTTAACTTCTGTGTGATGATTTATTTTGAAGTGGTCACAATTCTTCCTCTATCAGTTCATTTTCAAAAAGGGTACATATCATTTTTCATACATTTCCTTGTTTTAAAGGGTGATTTAGGACTGTGACCATCGTAATCACAAAAACCTGTTTCCCTTCCAAAAAATGCAAATAATGTTTCCTAGCTGCAGCTACAATGCAATGTTCTTATACTTTTTTCTATCTATGTTCATCAAAGAGGAATGGGTTTCATTTGAGATTCCTAAACCTGGTATCTTCATACTTCCATCCACAGCTTCATAGTGGAATTTGAAGTCCATGCTAGGTTGTGGAACAATAATTTTAATTAAGCTGCTCTATTTCTGCAATTTATGACTTATCCAGTCAGTACAATATCAGGACTACCTTTCCATATTCTATGCATATAAACAGCTGCAGCTGACCCAAAGATGTACTAACTAGAAAATCTTAGGTATGAAACTCTTTGTGAACAAGTAACTTAAGGTCTAGTCTTTCCTTCTAAGATACCTGATTAGCTAACATTGCCTTCTCCAAGCTATGATCATTCAAATGAGTTGGCTTAGAAATAGTACAATCCCCATCCAGCAATATGGGACTTGAAGCTCAACACATCCAAGTTTCTACCTGTTTGGTAAAGTTGGGTATAATACACCCAAAATATTTTAGACAGTCCTGTTTTCCAGAAAGGCTTAACACTTTTCTAAAAGGTTTTAGGAACACCTGCTTCCAGTAAAGTGTTGACTGAAGTTTCAATGTGTAAATATATTGAGTAATTATATGTTCAAATAATAAAAAACAGACATGATTAAAAGCACAATGAAATATAACACACTAAATTGGGACCATGAAAGTTGCAATCCAAACTTACTCAGTGAAATAAGTTCCATTAATTTGACAAAGTTAGCTATATTTCCAAGAAAATGCAATGAGGATGGAGGTATGGAGAAGTGTGCAATTCACATATTTAACCAGATTAAATCATTGTACTGCTTGGTTTGTCCTCACTTCACTGACACTGTTTCTTTAACAGCTACCACATAACGGTGGCCTTTAAAGCTTAAAAACCCTGCAACCCTTGTGATATTGATTTCTGATATAGCATATTAAGAGGTTTTTCATCAAGCCTGAAAAACATGTGAAAAATATGAAAGCCATTTAAATCAGAAGTGGAGTGGGGCTTTTTAGATTTACCCTATTAAAAAAAGAGTTTTGCATAATACTGAACTAGCAGAGAAGGCACATTTGCCTTATCTGGAAGCTGGTTCTGCAATTAACTAATTTTCAAAGGAATGATGGAGGAATAAACTGCCCAAACCAGCACAAGGAAACTTAAGGCAGATGGTGTCACTTAAAAAGGAGCAGAATGTAGGCTCAGAGGATAACTAAGTTTGCAATTGGAAGGCCCCCTTTACCATACTCATTAGTCTTCTTACAAATGCCATGGCAGCCCATGTTATTTACACCCTTATACTTTCTTTAAGAGACTGAATTATGTTACACTTAGTTATATTGAATTTAATCTAAACTAGACAGTCTAAGCCATTAGTGGAGAAATCATAATTTGTATCTATCCCTGATTTAAAAATAATATTGCCAACCCAAACCTACATTTGTTTTTCAAGAAATTAAAAAGGGTTTAAATGAAGACATTTTGTTGCATCTACACATTGAATTTGTTGGATACAATCAGTGACCCAGTCATTGTTTTTCCTCTGTAGCTTATAATACATATGCTGTTGCTGCCCCATAACCCGCAATGCCCTATGCTTGACATAGCCCCCTTATCTTGTAAATATTTTTTGGAATGCCCCTAGATAAAATGAACTCAACGGAGGAAGTTTTTGGTGAAGGGGGAAAGGTTGGGTTGTCTATTCCTTTCACCTTCGGATATCAGAGAAGTCAGAAGGTTCATCTCTCTGTTCAAAGGCCTCATGAGTTGCTTTGGAATTATGACCCCCAGATTTAGTGCGAGCGTGAGCATTCATAGGCAGCCTGCTACCTCTTTCCCCTCTAGGATTTTGAGAATTCTCTCTTGTACCAGACTGAGGGTGAATGACAAGGTTTCCTTGGCCAGTGGATATTCTTGAGACTTCATTTGGCTTTTTCTCAGATTCCAGGGTAGACTCTCCATGTGGAACCACAGTACAGAGGCTCAGGATGGAGCATAGACTTCCCCAATTCTGCTCACACTGGGCCTGGACACTCTGGGTGATGGCCTCTTTGACTTCTTCTCCACAAGTGAGCAATATATTCACCAGATCAACATACGGTCTGAGAAAAAAAATAAAAAGATATAAAGTTATGGAAGAGTAGCAGCAGCACTCAAATTGACTGCAGATCAGTTGCTATATATTTATTATTTTATCCATTAGACCGATAGACCATATTTTCATTAGGAATTGTATGTTTCTGTCTCTGACACACACACACACACGAACACTCCAATTTTATCTACGTTCTCCAATTTTCTCCCTTAGAAAGAAATCTTATAGTGGTTGGCTGGACGTAGAGATAGTGACTAACCCAGACCAGGTTTCCTCCCCTTTCAAGGGGAAATTCTGATCCCCTCATGATTTACTATTTCTCAACCATTACTGGGAAATCACTATCTCAATAGACTATATCATTCTAATGATCATCTAGTAAGTTTGAATTAATCTTTAAAATCCATGACAGCTTTCACTGAAGAAAGCAGAGTTACAAACCAGTGAGCACTACAGGATGCGCAAAATATGTTTTAACAGAAAGCAGAGCAAACTATCATGTTCTAGAATTCTGGTCAACCACTTCATATTGGAGGCAGATCAGCCAGAAAACAAAACCAAGGATTCTTGCATTGCTCTTGAAGATCTATCATGATTATATGTGTCAACTAGGGTAGGCTTGATGTGCAGCACCCACTTTTTCCTTTCTCACCAAAGCATGTACACTGGTCTTCCTGCCCCATCTTCCCAGACCTTTCTGCTCCCTCCGTCATCAGCCAATGCCAATGTCCCAGTCCAGCATATCCCACTATGCCTCTCTTCATATTTCTCCAGTCCTCCTGTCCTTGCCTTACCTTGCTTTAGCTGACACCAATGTATTGGCCTCTTCCTTAGTGCAATGGTCTTGGGAGTGAAGAACATATTTCAAACATGACATGCCTCACCCAGCCTGATCTTCCCACTATCTTCTTACTTTCCTCTCTCTGCCTCAGCTATCTGAAAATCTGACTCCATTTCTCGTGCTTGCTCCACTTTTGAAACACTTCTGCCCAGGACAAGTACATTTTGGTCCATATGCTCACCAAAACAGCCCTATTCTGTTTTGTTAAGCGGATTAAAGCATCCAAATTGCAACTTTCAATTTAGGCCACGGACCATCCAAAACAACTTTATGGAATACTTTATGCATCGAATATTTGCATGTCTCTAGAAGAAAATACAGTATAAACTGCCTACAAAAACAACAACAGTATGATATCTCCACCTACTAATCAATTATCTATGATTATGTATGGTAATTACAAGTAGTGAAAAGGTAATGATTCCTCAAGATTCTTTTCAACTGGATGTAACAACGTTTCATATGATTCTAGATATTAAATGGGTAGTCCACTTTAAATTTCAGCAAATTTATGATGTGACAAGTAATCCCATCGCCACCTTTAGGTTATTTTATCTGCTGCAGAATCTTTTAGGTTAATGAAGGTATTCTGTTTAACTGTAGATTTTATATTGGCAAGAACATTATAATAATCAAGAGGTCTTTTTTGCCCACAAATCTCAGACTTTTCAGTGCTGGGGAATTTGCTCAGTTACTGGTTTTGAGATGAATGACAGAAACTGAATACATTCCAATGTTGAGTCTCTTCCTAGAATTATGGTCCACAAATCTTGCTAATTATCTTCCAAGTCCACATAATATAGGATGACAGCATCAGCCATATAATTGCATGATACTTCAATGTAAGACCACATTTTTCATTAATCTAAGACATAGCAGTTAAACATACGATAAACAGCCAGTAATTTATGTTATTAGTTTCCACTACTCTTCGAATATTTAATATACTGTATGAGCACCATGGCTAATAAAGTATTTGAAATACTTTTATATAATGCTATGAACAACCACTGCAGAAAAATATAAAGACTATAGGTAGTCCTTGAGTTAGGACAGCAATTGAACCTAAGATTTCTGTTGCTAAGCAAAATAGTTGTGAAGTGAGTTTTGCCCCATTTTACTTTTCTTGCCACAGCTGTTAAGGGATTCACTGAAGTTACTTGCTAAATTAATAACAAGGTTAATAAGTCAATTTAACTTCCCCATTGCTTGTCAGGTCACAAAATATGAACACATGACCCTGGGACACTGCAACTGTCATAAATATATGCCAGTTGCCAAATGTACGAATTTTGATCATGTGACCGTGAAGATGTTGCAATGGTTGTTAAGTGTGAAAAATAATCCTAAGTCTCTTTTTTCAGTACTGGTGTTAACTTTGGTCACTAAATGAATGGTTGTAAGTTGAGAACTACTGGTGGTATAAAAGTCAGTCTCAATTGGCCTATTTTGAATATGTAATTATAGTTTTTTAATATATATATAATTATTTTGAATATGTAATTATAGTTATATATATATTCTTAATATATATATATGGGCTTAAACCTATTATGGGCTCATTAAAGACAGCACCCAGTGAACCCTATGGAGTCAGGATTTTATCAGGAAGCCAAAGCGAAGAAGGAAAAGCAGGGAATTTCTTTTCGCATCGTGAAGAATGTTGGTTTTTTTTCTTTTGTTCTTGTTACAAATGACTTAATCCTCACTAAACTTCAAATTATGCTGTTGCTTACAAACACAGTAACAGACGTAGCCTAGATATAGTTTATAGGGGATGGGAAAATCTGGGGAGAAATGGGCAATTCAAGCCTCTTTAAGATGTCATGAAGTATGAGCTGTATATGTGTAAATGAAAAAAAATTTTTTTTTCTTAAGCTCCCCACCCCGATCATGGAATATTTCCCAATATTTTCTTTTTAAATGGCATAAATAAAATTATTTCTTAAATGCCATATAAACAAAAAATGTACAGACCTTCACAGTTCCTGTGCACAGATAACTACCGTTTCTCCAACAATACGGCCTCCCCCAATAGGAAGTCCCAGCATGTTTTATAGGCATGAAATGAAATTAAGCCCCTCCCCCCAAATTAAGGCCTATATTAAAACATGCGAAATGGGGGGGAATGGTGGGGGGGGCTTGCCATTAGGAAGTACTTTTGTTGCACACCCGGATATGGTGCTGCCTGCGTTGACCCCGATACGAAGTGCCCCACCAACGCTGAGGTCAACATCCAGGCCATCGCTGCCCGCCCGCCCAAAGATGCAAGGAGGGGAATTAAGTCACCCCCGAAAAGACGGCCTAGCCATTTTTTTGGGGCTCAAAAAAATAAATAAGACCCGGCCTTATTATATGAAAAACACGGTATATAATACAATTGCTAATATATATTTCTTACTCCAGGGTGCATTAACCTTTATAGTCACAAAGGAAGAACGTTCCTGCACTTGCTTGCTCTCACTGAGTTCTGACTGGTTGTTCTGGCTCTCCACTAGGCCCTAGCGTCCTGGAACTGGCCAGAAGCAGCACCCACTGATTTAGAGTTATAAAGGATAATTTTAAAATATTATTGCGGTATTTCAACTCTTTGTTTCCCAATTCTGTTTCTTTCTACAAAAATATTAGAAAACTCCATATTTTTCTACTGTTTTACAAATTTTCCAGAATCTTTACATCTTTAGGTCAAGCTAAAGGAAAAATAATTTATTTATTACTGTTGTCTAAAGCCAAGTATTGGAAAGTTGAACATTTGGCCTGAAATTTAAATGCCCTCCCTTTTTGTGGTTAATTATGTGAAGAGGAGAGTAAAATTCCAGCCTTACACAGCATATAAGTAGCTTTTTTCCCCTCCATTTAGGTCTATGTCTATCTTCTTTCTTTGAATAATTCTTGCCGCAGCCCCCCCCCCCCCCCCTTTTTTTTTTTTTTTTTTTGGCCAAGGAACAGTACACTCCTACTAGGGAAGCCTGCTGTGGATTTTGGGACACGTTCTCTTGTGTGTACTTTGTTTTGTTGGGCCATGATTAGGTGTTGCATCTCACCAAATAAAGTGAGTTGGGAAGAGCACATGGCGTTGTCTCCTGGGCCAATTCAGTGATGATGTGCAATCTGTCAGCTTCTCCATCTTGCCACAGAACACTGTCTGCAAACCACTGAACTAAATGATCACATTTAACTACCAGTCATTTATAATTTAGTTGGTTGCCAATTTCATGGAAGGGGCCCACAGAAATCTGAAGGGCGTATTTGTCTCACTCAGCATGCAAGAGGCATTTGTCTTGGCACTCCATGGCAGAATTACTCCAGGAGGCAAAATTACTTAAGACATTATCTCACCCAGCATGCAAGAGTTATTTGACTTGCCACTCCAATGCAGTATCAGTGCTGGCCTGAATGTGAAGCAAAACCTTTATTATCCCTAGCACCACTCCATCTTTCAGGAAAAGGAAACAAATCCCACAACCCTATCTGCCATTAAAAGATGATCCGAGTTATATTCTCTACAGGACGTACATAATGCAACATGTTCCACAAATGAATGATACATTGCTTGCATACAAAGCGTTAAAAAATTCAGGCACATTTGGGTCTGTTGCGGAGATGGCATTCAGCAGGTTCTGACCAGTTCTGGAGAACCAACAGCAGGAATTTTGAGTAGCTCGGAGAACTGGCAAATACCACCTCTGACTGGCCCTGCCCCCATCTATTCTCTGCCTCCCGAGTCCCAGCTGGGTCTTCTTTTGTTGCCCTGCACAGGAGAACAGAGCTGGAAAGCAGGTTGGTGGGGTGGGGAAGGAATAGAGATTTTACAGTATCCTTCCCCTGCCACGCCCACCAAACCACGTCCACAGAACCGGTAGTAAAGAAATTTAAATCCGACCAGTTGCACTAGGACTATAAGTAAAACACTATATGCCATTTACGTATCACTAAAGTAAACTGCAATGCATTATTACAAATTCTAAGGAATAGCCAGTAAAAAGGATTGTAAAAATGGCTGTAATTCTGAACTAAATAACACATTTGAATGCAGATCAGGTGTTCATAAATAGATTCTTGTCAATAAATATATAAGCAATATCAATAGGCTAGGATTAATTTATTACTGTGTTGTATTTTTGAGGATTCTGTTTGCTTTTTGTTGGTTTTAGTTTGGATGGTCTATCTGTTTTTATGGATTTTTTGGGTTTTGTATGCCACCAAGAGTCCATTGGAATTGGGTGGCTGTAACAAATATGAATAATCTAATAAACATAAATAAACAAGGCAGATTATTATTTTCTGAAATAATGCAGAGAAAATGGTATCTCTTTTAAGATAAAGTTTTCTGACCTATCTCCATCTTAGAATCAACTACTTAGCGTTGAATTTAACCATACTTCAAAAGATGTAATTATGTCCCCTGATTTTTACTCTTTGACCAGATACCATGTGCAGACAGAAAATATTACATAAATGTCACAAACAATTTTATGGTTGATAATATTTTATAATTTGTGACCTTGTACTAAGACATTGTTTTATATATAAGACAAGAACTATACAATTGTAATATGCTACAATTATGCACAAGTTACTGGAAAAAGTTTTTTCAGGATAAACAACTTTACTCCCAAGTTCCTTTGTTGTTTCCATACAGCTATATAACCCTAACCCTTAGCTTACAGATATATGAGTAAAAGGAATTCTGCTCCTACTTCAGAGCAGAAATTCTATTCCATTTCTGCAGCATGAATCTATTTGCAAAGAGCAAAAAAGTTCCACAAGGAAGCATTTTCCAGAACAGATAAGGAGAGTCTATTCTCAAAGAGCAGCATGTGGAGCTGAATGAACACAGTTGCAGCTAAGATCTTCTCCCACGGTGATTCAAGTATTTAGTTTCCTAGTGCCAGTGAGATGATTTTTACTAGTTTTTTATTATTTAATGTATTTGCTGCCCATCTTGCACTTCAAGGCTATACTGAGCGTCTCTACTATCTGTTTAAGAAACACAAATTTATTCCACCTTATCTCCAACACCAAGCAATGCAAAGCAATTAATTAAGTATGGAATTGTAAATGAAGTAAGAAAGAGTACAGGGAGAAGTTATTTCTTCAACAACTGTTGATGTTAATTTTAGAACCATTAAAATGTTTCCAGATTTAATGGTTTAGTTGCTGTCAAAACTACATTATTTTTAAAGGTATTCTGATCCAAATGAATGTCTAACACAGAATTCACTGAAAATTTTAATTTAAAGGGTTCATAACTGTAGGTTTTAAGTATCTGTTTGTTGTCATTCTTGGAGTAGAAAAAATAAGCTTCTGAGTAAGAGATTGGAGGAGTTAAGTAGAGTATTTGTACCTATATTTTGGCAGGTTAGATATTAAAAGTTAAGGTTTCTGCCAGCCATTCACAAAAAGTTGGCTTCAATAGAATTCTACATGTTTTAAGCTTCAGCAAATACTGAGAGGTTATGTGTTGGTGAGGACTGGCATTTTTCTTCATGATGTGTAAGCCAATTATGCAATATGTGATGCAGCAATCAGAAGCACCCACAGAATACTTACAAACAGCAATGGGAGTGAAAATGTCGAAATGGTGAGCATAATGCAAGCTCCACCTCTTTTTAATATGCTTTCCATGCACATAAAAAGAGTATAAGAGCTCTGTTGGCACAGTGGTTAAAACATGGTATTGCAGGCAAATTCTACCCATAACCTGGAGTTCGATCCTGACAGGGATCAAGGTTGACTCAAGCCTTCCATCCTTCCGAGATCCATAAAACGAGGACACAGATTGTTGGGGACAATATGCTGACTCTGTAAACTACTTAGAGAGAGCTGTAAAGCACTATGAAGCAGTATAGAAATCTAAGTATTACTGTTATTGCTATAGGACACAAATAGTATAGTTATGCCTGCCATTTTATTTTTTTCTACTCCACTGGTGGATGCCACTGCTTCTCCATATAATAATGTGATTATTTTTTTTCTCTCTTACACAGAAATTCTACACTATGGCCAATTCTCACATTATAATAGGAGCAGATCTATATTCAAACTCGTTTCTGTGTATGAGATAATCTTATTTTTCTTCTTCCTAATGCATCAATCTGAACAATAAGTTACAGAGCAGAGGGTTTTCACATAGCAAATAACCAACAAAAAAGAGAAGCCATTTTATATGAAAAATATGATTTTATTCCATTGCTATAATAAACCTCAGATCTCACTATCGTATCTGAGTATATTAAAGGGAAAAATCTGAGAATGATCATCTATTTACTCAAAAAAGGAAAGGAAGAGAGTGGGCAATACATTTTTTATAGAAGGATTCTAAAAAATTAGGCATGGCCATTTCAGTTCACCTTTTGTGACATGGCTGCAACTCTACAGGCTATCTATAGCTCATTTGTATCGCTAAATGTTGCAGACTAAAATTTTCCTCTGGTTCAGATGAATAAAATTAAGGGACATGCAACTGTCTGGAACTTACACTAGCAGATTAGATGCTCCCTCTCTTTACTTACTCAAGTTGTAGCAAGTCTTTGAAATGAATCATCTCCACAATGACCTGGACATTCTCTTTGGCTGCAGAGCAGAGATCGTGCTTCTGATAGCATTCTCGCTGTAGCTGGAACACCATTTCTTTGATAGCAGGACATTTGCGACTGATACAACTAAACTTGTGCCGCAAAGCATGTGCCTTGCATCTCAGGGCATCTTTAATGAAGGATTTCCCCTGAGATGAGAAAAGAAGAAAAAGAACAACTGAACTCATGTCTATTTAGCATATACCTTGTGATCCATCTGCATTTTTCAATTAACACCTGGAAAAGAAGTTGCTTATTTACTCTTAAAAGACACGGGTATCAAACTTAATTGCTTCAAGTGATGTATCGTGACATTTTTTGCCTTTGCGCAGCCAGGGTGGGCGTGGCCTATGTGTGATGCATCCGGCCCCTGGACTGCCAGTTTGATAGGCTTGTTCTAAGATAACAAATATTTTCCTCTAATCCCAATCAGATAATTATTTCCATCTTTGGTTATAGCAGGTGCTCAGTATCTGCCAGACATTTAACCTTCATTAATATCTACCCTTCCTTTGCTGATGCCTAAACCAAGCAATTCTGAAAGTAGAGGGGGAAAGAGAGGTTAGAGGGCTATTAAAAAAAAACCTGCTCCCCAAGAGCAACCCTTTTGTGAGGCAAATTCTGGAAACCATATTTACCACTTGGGCTCCTTGTGGCAGGAGGAGGCGGGCCCTTGGTGTTGGCGGTAATAATGGGGGCAATTTCAATCCTAAAATTCTGGGGGGTTTTGCCATAAAAATAAAATTTTATTTCATTTTTAATACCCTGTCTTTATTATTTGTATAAATAAAGCAGGAAACACATTCAACACACCTTATTCCTCTTATTTTTCCCAGAACAACAAATCTGTGATGTGAGTTGGGCTGAAACAATGTGACTGGCCCAAAGTCAGCATTCATGGTTAAGACAGGACTAGAACTCTGTGTCTTGGTTTTTAGTCTGGTGCTGTAACCACTAGACCAAACTGTCTCTTTTAATGTCTTCCATCCTGCAAATTCTAACTAGCCAGCAATATAAGAATTTCAGAAAATGGTGTAAGACACAGCAGAATTGTTCCTCTTATTAATGATACTTGGAAAGTTATACATAGGCATTGGATATGATTGTAACATATCCTGGTGAGGAATAGTTAATTCAAAACCAATGCATTATCTTAATGGCAATATAGAGTTCTCATTTTCATGCCAGCAGAAAATCTCTCCATGAGACTGTGAGACTATGTTGTGATAGTTTGGTACAAAAATACTGATCTGCCATTACTATTATTGTTGTGCTGTTGCATCCTTCTGGAAGCTGACCTGCCAAGCTGACATTACTCATTATCCTATTGTGTAGCGTCTTCACTATTTCAATAGTCTGAAATCAAGCAGTAGCATGTAACTAACATTCTTTGGGTAGCTGTTGTTGTCAATAGTTACACTGTCCTAGTGCCCTGCTTGCCACCTGTCATGCCTAGCAGGTGAAAGCAACCCTTTCAACTTTTCACAATGTATTTGAGTGATCCTGTCCTTATTACTGTGGAAAATCCAACTAATGCACTATTTTTTATTTATTTATTTATTTATTTGATTTGCCAATTGTTTACAAGATAATAAGTATAAATGTATACATAGTTGTGAATACATGAAATGGTTACATATAAGAAAAATAAAAGAATAGGAGAAACAATAGGACAGGGACGGTAGGCACATTGGTGCGCTTATGCACGCCCCCTACAGACCTCTTAGGAAAGGGGTGAGGTCAATAGTAGACAGTCTAAGGTTAAAGTTTTTGGGGTTTGGGGAAGAAACTACAGAGTCGGGTAGAGTATTCCAGACATTGACCACTCTATTGCTGAAGTCGTATTTCCTGCAATCAAGTTTGGTGCGGTTTACTTTGAGTTTGTATCTATTGTGTGCTCTTGTGTTGTTATGGTTGAAGCTGAAGTATTCATTGACAGGTAGGACATTGCAATGTATGATTTTGTATACCATGCTTAAGTCAGACCGAGGACGGCGTAATTCAAGGTTTTCTAGTTCTAGAATTTCAAGTCTGGTGGCATAAGGTATTCTACAGCGAGTAGAGGAGTGGAGAACTCTTCTTGTGAAATATTTCTGGACTTTCTCAATTGTGCTAATCAAGTAAGCTCCAGGAAGCAGACTGCAATCCCAGTCCCGTGCTATTGAAGAGCGTCTAGGAAGAGACCCTGATTTTATACAGTGTGAGAGAACTCCTGCTCAAATGAGGCTCTCCAAATCTACTTCACACAACTTTCAGAAATGATGCAAAGATGAAAAGAGACTGCAAGGAGAACAAAAGTCTAATGTGTCCATGCCACTTGTTTGTTCCCTTCAGGACTCTGCTTGCTCACTTTCACTGTTTGGATAAGCTTTTCAGAGTTACTCAGACAAACTGGAAAATACTTCATTCATCATGATCATGGAGGGAAATGAGGCTCTGTTGAAAAATTGAGTTTTCCGAGTTTAAAGCTTCATCACAACCTGAAGCTAAAAAGATTCCACAGTTCTGCAGAACCCAGTGAGTTGATTTACCAATGTGCAAAGCAATCTTGCTATTAGTTGACCTCTGTGAGGCTCACGCCTCCCCATCCCACCCTGGTTGGGGCCAAATCAAGATCTGAACAGGGATTTATTTTCCACTCTGGAGAAAAACCTTGATGATAATGGTAATTGGCAAGAATCCGATTCCGATATTAAATTGGTAGCACAACTAGTACCACAGTAATGCTCTTGAAAGGTAGCCAGTATATAATGGATGGATTCACCCATTGCACAATGCCATGTTTGTTCATGGCTTAACATAATTATGTGGGCCCATCCATTATAGAGATAATGACAGAAAACCTTTGATATACTGTACCATATTTTAGCCCTTAGAAAGATGATTTTAAGGTATATTTCAATTGTTAGAGGAATCATGGAAGTTGAAGGAGGTAAAAGAAGACTAAAATGATTTTTTAGTTTTTAGAAGACGGGGATTTGCATCCTAAATATCTTCTTCCGCACTCTGGAGGTTAAGTAATGCAATGTGGCTTTTCTCTTCAGAGGCACAATCCTAGTCATGTGTGGAAATAAACCCAAATGAATATAGTGATGCTTCCCAATGAAAAACAGTTATCCTATGCATTGACTAAGTCCATTAAATTCAGTAAGATTTGTGGACAAGTAAGCATATATTCTAGGACTGAGGTTCTTTCTCTTCTAATCATTAGTCTATTTCTCTCTTCCTCATTTTTTCCTTTTGCCCATGACCATTCAGATAAACTTTTTGATGCTAAAAAAGATCTCCCCCCAAGCCCAACTAACAGCATTCTGATATGAATGTAGATTTGATGGGAATATTTCTTTTTTAACTTCTGCAAAAGGTTAGGAAGAAGATGGAAGCCTTAAAAAATTACAGAATGTCTGATTCGCTTCTAACTACACTTGTCACAGATGCAAGGAACAACTAAGCAAAGTACTAATTTAACTCCACCTCCTTTTGCTGCCAATTCTGAAAGTCAGCCATACTTCAGCGATAAACTATGTTTTGAATAACTGGATTATTTTTGCTGAATAGGACATGGCGTGCGATCCCTCCTTTTAAAACTTTTTCTCTCATCCTAGCTAATGAGCAGTCAGTCACTAATCAATAAGACATACCGGTAGAAGCAGGGGTGGGCTGCTACAGGTTCGCCCGGGTTTGGGAGAACCAGTAGCTAATGTTATGGCCGGTTAAGAGAACTGCCAAATCCCACCCCTGGCTGCCCCTCTCACCCACCCAGGAGTCTCCACGCAGCCTGCTTTGGATGCGAGGTAAGTGCAGGGCTCATGCGGAGACTCCGGAAGACCGGAAACAGGGGAGTCTGTTTTTGCACTCCCAGAGGCTTGAGGAAAGCCTCTGGAGCCTGGGTATGGTGAAACACCCCCCCAAATGATGAAGGAGGCTGACTAGGCCATACTCCCCCAGCAATCAGGCAGAGAACCCGTTGCTGAAATTTTGCCCACCCCTGGGTAGAAGCTAACTTTCTTTTTCCTACTCCAATTTTATGGCAATATAATTTTATCTGTTAAACTGGAACTTCTTCTGTTGATCCTTCATTTCTTAAGCAGATTAGATTCAAATTGTTTTTGCCTTATAAAACTACCGTGCATTTGAAGGGAAAGATACTCTCTGGTAATCACTGACAAAATATTTTATTCCGTTAGTTTGGTTTTGTAATAACAAAGGAAGAAATTTCATTATTTGGAATGTATAAGATATTATTTTGTCATAGAAACAGTCAGCAAGAATATGAAAAATATTGAAATGACACTTGAATAAACATACTGTTACTTAGATTTCTTTACTTAAAAATATTATGGGATAATGCGCTATAAACTTAAACCTATTAATTTGGAAGGAAACTTTCATTGTTATATTTTTGGAAAAGCAAACAAAAGATTTCTATAAAAATCTGTTTTTAAGTCCCTAGTTTAAACTTTTAATTATCAATGCACATTCTGTAAATTGCCAGTCAAGCCAAATACATCTGACCAATGCAATATTTTCCCCAGAAATGGGAAAATTGTTGTACCAGGCATAATAACAGGATGCTTCAACAATCTACAGTTTGGAGAAAAAATGAAAGAGGCAAACTTAATATCAGATTCTTGCTAAGGAATGTACTTAGATGTTGGTGGGCTGCCAAGGAATCACTAGAATAAAGCAGCAGAGACAGTTACTTCCAATGACACTGTGGCTCGGTATTCATCTGCAGAAATGAATTCAACTGATCATATAAAGGGAGTCAGAGATAAGATTGAGCAAAAGAGAATTCCTCACTTGGTGTCCTTGGACTGAGGCATCCAGAATAAATCCCTTTCCATTTTAATGTGCCAAGAAGCACCGAGGGCCCAGTCACTTTAGTAGTGTTTCAACTTCAGGTCTTTAAGCTAAATTGAAAATGCCGGCACTTCAAAGCAGCAAGAGCAAGATGACATTAAAGGATGACCCACTGTTATATTATTGCATTATCATCCAGAATTAATTTGTTTAAAATGTCACTATGGCTTGGATCTGCCATACTAATTTGTACCTGGAACAATGAGCTTTCCAAACCAATAGCTCTTCTCCTAAATTCACAAGGGCATCTATTATATTGTTTAGGCATGTGCTGATTTTTTCCCCCTCTTCATCCAGGCTTCCTCTGTGTGAATGTTATAAATAAATAGTTCTACATTCCTTCCCTCCTTGTAATATGTTTTCATATTGTTTGTATTTATTGTACTATTTTAATATTTCTAATTGTAAACTACCTAAGAGGCTGCATGAGACATACAACAGTAAGATCAAATAACTAAGGAATGTCAATAAAAGAGAATATTTGTAGCTCAGGGTTGAAATGAGGGGTCCATGGTGCTCTTTGAGCTTTTTTTCTTGCAGACATTTCAATACCATAACTAGGTGCAAGCTCAGAGAGCACCAAAGACCCCTCAAATAAGCAATATTGGATGGGAAAAAGTATAATCCAAACCTATTGTTTGCACTGGATCAGTGATGCATCCTTAACACAGGAGGCAAAGTACTTTTCAAACCAAATAACAGTTTTCTTTAGCAATGGGACTTTCTACTATGTAGTCTTTTCACAACTATTTGTAGGCTGAAAATTATTTCCCATATACATTAGCCTACCCTCAATCAGCCCTTTGCTAAGGAGATGATGTGTATTTGATGTTTCACATACAGTAATAAAACTGTATAATTCTGTAATATCCATTCTTATTTTATCTATAGATCTAAAGGCTCCATATGTGGAATTATGATTTAACTGGAAATTATGATTTAATTGAAAGGGAGCTGCAGTATACCTCATGGCACTAAAAGAGGGTTGAATAGGTGATAAAGGTCAGATGGTTTAAAAGAGAATATTTACAAAGAATTAACATTCTACATTGTAAGTATATTCTGTTCAAGGAAGTTTGAAACCTGACTGGTTGCTCTGTTTGATTAAAACCTTAACTAGTAATTTTCATAAAAATCCATACTATTTTATACTTTCATATTAGCTGATTCTGGGTCTAGTTATCTATGCCTCAAATTGTTGCATTTGCTTACCTGGGCATCAAACTTTCCAGCATTGTGGAGAAATGTCATGCAGATCTCATGCAAACCTCGAATCTCACAAGAGTTGTTTTCAAAGCATTCAAATACACTGCAGCCAACATCACCAGCACTGACCAGGCAGTGCTGGATTTCAGCTGAAAATGAACAGTCACCACAGTAAATGTCTACAACTATTATATATACCTGTAGGCAAAAGAATACTTGTTAACAACTTCTTCATTTCAAAAGGGGAACAGAATAGTAATGTAGGAGATTATTGCTTTGCAAACAACTATATATGATCAAAAGAAAAAGTCACTGTTAAATCCATATCTGAACTAATTTAATGACACAAGTCAATATGATGCAGTACTTTAAATTATTACACTGAACTGGAGAGACAAGTTAAAGTCCCCACCCAGGTCATGAAAATCACTGGGTAGTCACAAAAATCACTGAGTGAACTCTCATTTTAATCTACCTCAAAGGGTTGTTGTATAGATAAATGGAATGAGATTCAAGAATACCTTTTTCATCATCATGTAAGATAATTAAAAATATTGGGTTGATTTGATCATTGTGAATTAAGGTCCAAAATTCAATATTAGCTCAAAGAAAACTGCATCTGATAAAGTTATGCAACTATTTATTGGGTCTTCTTATCTGAACCAGTGTCCCCAAATACTTCCTTTAAAGTGCATTTTGAAATTAGTGAAACCATTCACAAAGTTTCAGGTAAATTTTCAGGTCAGAGCTCCCCACTGCTAATTTTCTGGTTTCCTTGACTACTCTTGAAAGTGGGTTATATTTTTTTCTATTCTATGAATAACCCTAACCCTAACCAGCCTACAACAACATTGTGTTAAATTAGTTAAATATCAAAGTGAAACCCTGATCAATGACAACAGTAATAGAAAAATTAGACATTCTACAACCATCTCCTCCAAGGATATTCAAGATACAGAATACTCCAGAGATTTCCTTCTGATTAACATTACAAGAAACAGGAATGTCTAAAAGGCCAAGTACAAGCCAATTCTGGGATTACTTGCATAGAAATAGAATACTGCAAAAGAAATAATGCAGCTAACTCCTCCTTTAAGGGGTGGGAAGGAGATCTGACCAGAGCCTTAAAAAGCAAAAGGAGATATTGCCTTCTTTTCAACGAGGCTGCCTGCGCTGTTTTATACAGAAAGGGGAAGCTGCACATTAGCTAAGAGTTTCTTCGTCCAGCGTTGTGTAAGTGTGTAGCTTGGATTTAGGTGTTTTTAGCTTTACGCTGGCACCGAGTCCGATGCAGGAGTTCCGTTCACATGCCCCGGCCTCCGCGGGCTGAGCGCTTCCTGGAGGAGTGATTCACGTGTGAAGGCAGTTGTCTACTTGTGACATCAGGAGCGTCTATATATCCTGCCTGACCTGTGAATAGCTGAAAGACTTGGGCAGCCAGCGCCCCTACTGTGAACAAGTGAGGAATAAACCGGGAAGGGGGTCTCCCAAATGTCTTTCCATTTATGCTAGGCAAAGGACCCGGTAAGGTTATTTAAAAAAATCAAAAAGGTCGGGAGAAACTACTACTAGTTGGATGACCTCGCTTGCTGCCGAAAAAGGATTTTCAGGACTTTTGTTCAATCTGAACGTCTCCCCGCTTCTGCATTAAACCTGCGCCGATGCCTTGTGTCCTCCCCTCCTTCTGCCTTCCTTTTATTTAAAGGATGGGAGCTGGGCAGTTTAAGACGTGCAAAAAGCAAACATAGTTCTGCAAGTTGCCTTTTATTTTAAAGCAGAGAAAGAGAGCGGGGTGGGGGTGGGGGGGTGGAGCGCCCTCCTTCCGATGGAAGGTTCACAGGCTTCACTACGATATTGCATTCCCTGTGGGACGACTTTCTTTGCCTAGCTAGAAGATGGAAGGGTTGCCTCTATTACAGTAGTTCAAATGGTGGAACACGTGCTTGGCTGGCTAGCCAGAGCTTCCAAGCTGCTAGAAGCACTTCTATTTCCTTCGCTGACTTCTGCTTGTCACTCCCAGCGCCTATATGAACGATGCTTATCACCTAGCGACGCAACTCCTATCTCTGGCACACGCTGCACCGAAGTCGAATATATATATTCGCATACATACACACATCGAATATATATACACACATACATACACACACATACACATATATATATATATATACACACACATACATATATAAAACATATAAAAATCCCCGCACGCCTGGTTCTGGCCTTAACCCGCAGCTTCCTCGCCTCAGAAACCGAACCATGCCCGGATGCGTTTTGCTCCTCAAGAAATAACCGCGTACCTGAATTTTGCAGAGACATCCGCCCTTTTTGCTGAGGAGCTCTGTCCTGGGCACCTTCCGGAGGATGCGTGGCTTCGGTGCCCACCACCGCATCCACACTTGCAAAGACCAGCGCCAGGGTCACCAATTTCCGTAAGCACTCTGCACACATGGTCCTTGTGTGTACCCAAACCACGCCGACTGGAGGCCGCCAAGCCCCCCGCCCGCCCTTCTCTCTCGGCTTCTTTTGCGAAAGACCCAGAATCTCCTACCGTCCCAACTACGCAGAGAAGCTCTGCGAAGCGAACGCCGCTGATAGAAGTACTGAAAGTGGCCCGGAGGGGCAACGGATGGTTCCTCAAATACGTCTCAAAGCTCGGGTGTCACTTGAATGAAGGAGTCCAGCAGATGTTGTCCGCCAACCCGACCAACCGGAGCCTCTATTTCACTCTGACACCACGCTCGGGGGCGTGGCCTCCCCCAAAGTATTACTACGCACTCCAGGGAGCAGAGATTATATCTCGGGATGCGAAGTTGCTGCATCGAACTGCAGGTTGCAAAAGCAAGCGGCGGCGGTCGCGTTAAAGAGATCGCCACAAAGCCAAGGGCTTTGCATCGTATGCAAGATCGGCGGGAAAAGGCACGCTATTGCAGTGGAAGAGAACAGGATTTGGAGTGATTAAAATCCCCTCCTCCATTAATTTAGTGTACCCCTCTCTTTACGTAAGCAGGAGACCATACCCACCGGTGATGCTAGCAGAATTTTTTGAGGGGCAAGGTAGACAAAGGACACTAGTTCATAGGAATTTCTTTAGGTAAATGGAAGATTCTCTTGTCTTGTGTAACAGCACACTGAATTAGTACGAATAGCAAAAGGCGAGACCTGGTGGGTAGGTTGCCAAGATCCAATTTCGAACGAGAGACAGCATTATGGTGGTAAGAGAACCCTAAAAAGCATTTGCAACCTTGCTCGGGTTGCTCTGAAAAGGAAGGGAAAGACGGCTGAGATCCACTTGAGTTTCTGGATCCGACCAGGACTCTAAATCGGGAAACGCGCGCACAATACTCATGCACGCCCAGGTTGATGGTACGAGCAGCCTTGGGATAATCTGGATTCATTTTCTTTATAACTTAGTTGGCAACACGAGCCAACTGCCTTAGAACTCCTGTTCCCTTCCCTGAAACGGGGTGGGAGGGCTTGTGCCTCTTTACTGAATGGAAAAATAAAGATGGACAATGTTCCAATGGGGGGGGGGGGGGGGGTGGGGTTGGGCCGTAGGGGACCGAGTTCTTTGGGGGAGGGGGGGGGGGGGGGGGGGCGGGAACAGATGAAAGAAACCTTTTCTTCTGTAACTTCACCGCAGTCGTTGCATCATCTGTTTTATACTCACGGATTTGCTTTAAAAAAAAAAAGTCCTCCCCTCCTCCCCCCACCCTGGTCCGCTTGGAACCTGAAGCAATTGAAACCACTTCTAAGGACGGTGAAGTGGGTTCCACTTCGCAAACCTTCCGGGCTGAGTCATCATCCGGCGTCCGCTAAGTGCAAACTATCGATACCGTCGATTCAAATCAAGCGGCCACCTCCCCGTTTGCTTAGAGAACAAGGCGGGAAAAGCAGGTGGCGGCGGCGTTGGCGTTGATGGGCTGCGGGAGCGCGCCTAGTTTTTAACCCTCTCCCGCCTTCCTGCATTGAAGCTGCGGCAACCGACTTGGGAAATTTCATCAGACACGCCACCAACTTCTTGCCTCCAGCGCTGTACTGCGAGGGAAAGGCGACGCGGACTCCCCGGGCCTGTCTGGCTAGTGCGAGTTAAGCTGCGAGCCGAAGAAGAGGAGGAAAAAGAGCAGGCGGCTCGGTCCCGGCGCTCTAGGATAGGGCCGGGCCGAGCTGACTTGCCGGAGGAGGAGGGGCGGCGCAGCGCATGGAAGAATGTCTTCAGCTGCTGCTGCCGCCGCCGCCGCCGCCGCCGTGGTTCTCTCCTGCTCCCAGCTGTCAAAATGCAGTTGAGAGAATCCACTCACACCTCCAGCAGCAAGCGGTGCTCTGGGAGGAAGACGTGACGCTGCGCGGCAGAGCCATGGAGGTCCCTTCAACTCCCCCGCCTCCGCCTCATCCAGCGCCAGGCATAGAAACCACGCTTCCTTTCAAGCCGCCTCCTGTACAAAGCATCACAAAGTTTCTTTGTTAAGATTTTTTTTTTCCAGGCCCTGCGTTGTGGAGAGAGAGAGAGAAGAGGGGAGGATAATTCGGGGGAAGATTATTTTGTGCACTTTGGCTTTTTATTTATCATGGATCCCACGTGATTCCTTCCCATAGTGACCTGCCTTTGCAAAAACCATTAAAAGCCGAAAATAATTGTTGTATGCCACAAGCCAGCACTCAGAACAGTAGCAGTTTAAAACAATAGACAAAGGCTGCCGAGTGCAATGTTTAATTAAAAGCAAGCCTGGAATAGAATTGTTAAGACACTTCTGAATGCTAGTAAAGATGTGTTTTTTTGCATATAGGGAGAGGGGATATTAAAAAAAAAAAAAAAAAAACTGGGCCGCCATCACTGAAAAAGGCCTATGTTCAAGAGATTAACATGCCACCATATTCTAATATAGTTCCCCAGTCACGTCCCCAGTATGCATGACTGAATTGAAAAAAATATATTTTGAGAAAAGATGGAAGATTTACAGGTTTAACCAGAGAAGAGACTCACAAAAATGAAGGTGAAGTTTACTATAAATGCCCATAGGTAGTTTACTCTGCTAAATATGCTTAGATTTGGATTCATTTACAACTTGGTGCTTTCACCTTGTTAACTGAAAACACAATCAAAAGACCTTGCAATTGCTTCTGAATTTAAATTGCTACTGAGTGGGTACCAAATAATGCTAGCATGAAATTGGGTCTCCCATTCTGAATTCCCGCCCTTTGGTCACTGCCTCTGCTAAATTACTGACAAATGGTATCTTGATTCAACTGATACATCCGCTATCGTCAAAGTGATTTCTAACTTTGTTGCCATACCCTTTTAATACATAGGATGGCTCGTGGCTATTTCCATACTCTCTTTCAATTCAGCTCTCTTTCTGGGCCTTTGCCCACTACTGATAAAGGGTATTCCTCATGCTTGTCTAACTGTGTACAAACATGCTCTGACAACACATTTTTCCTTTCCTGTCTCCTGATGTTGCTTTGATCTGAAGTGAAATGGTTTTAAGTTGTCTAGCTGTAACTGATGTTAAAGTAATGGCTTTCCCCTCAAGCTCTCGGCGTAACAGTAGCCATAATTTGTCTAAAATCTTTTATACGTCACCATTTTGGAAATTAAGTCAAGTAATGAGTAGTGGATGGGATCAAAACAGCCGATAGTGGCTGTTTCAGACTAATGTTGGAGTGCTTCTATTCCCTGATTAACCTCATCTACAGGTAGTCCTCGACTTATGGCCACAATTGAGCCTCAAGTTTTTTTTTAAGTGAGACGTTTGTTAAGTGAGTTTTGCCCCATTTTACGACTTTTCTTGCCACAGTTGTTAAGTGAATCACTGCAGTTTGTAAGTTAGTAACCTGATTGTTAAATGAATCTGGCTTCCCCATTGACTTTGCTTGTCAGAAGGTCGCAAAAGGTGATCACATGACCTTGGGACACTGCAACCATCATAAATATGAGTCAGTTGCCAAGCACTTGAATTTTTATCACATGATCATGGGGATAGTGCAAAGGTCATAACTCTGAAAACCAGACAGAAGTCTCTTTTTTTCAGTGCTGTGGTAGCTTTGAATGGTCACTAAACGAACTCTTTTAAGTCAAGGAGTACCTGTAGTTGACTCCAAAAAAGCTAAACCCAGTGCTGACAACCTGTCAGAGTTGTGTGATAATGCCAGAGCGCTTAGCACACAGAACTGTTAAGTATTTTAACCCTGTGGCCCTTCCTGTTTTTGTGCAGGCCTAAAGGAACAAAGGAGTGCAGTGATGGGACAGCCTACCCTGCCCCTTTGCCTCTGAAGGATAAAACACAGAGAAATTCAGAATCTGGGATTTGTTGTCTTTGTAAAGAAAGGAAATGAAGGAGAGGAGAATCTTAAAAGTGGTGCTTGGGATTGATTTCTTTTCACAAGTCCACTCTTCTTTTTTTTAACCACCTTATATCACGACAGGATGGGCATATGAGGATGGACACAGGAGAGAGCCCAGGTCCTGAGAGAACATCTTGCTGCAGTGCTATGATTGGCAGATTTCCTGGCTGGCTGGCTACATATAGAACAGAGGAAAGCAAAAGAATCAACCAAACTGTAGCTGTGCCTATCATACGCCGTGCACATGTACAACATTGGGATAGAACCTTCCAGTAGTGAGTTACAACAAGATGCTGTAGAAGCAGAATAGAGATTGGCAGGTAGATAGCAAATTTCATGCTCCCCCCCCTCCCCCCCACTCAATGAATGGGTAGCACTTTAATTCAGGAATGTTGAAAGTCTTTGAACTGGCAATACTGGAATAATAGTGGTATTTTTTTTTATCTTTCAGCCAATGCCATCTTATAGCTTCAACATTTTCAAAATGTTAATGCTTTGTCACCTTTTATTTATGTGCAAATAATCTCTCATCTTTCTTCTAGGAGCTCAAGGTTTGGGAATGCATCCAAAAATACTACTGTCATTCCAATGGAGCAATTGACAATGTAGTCTTTCTCCACTGCTGAATTGCAGGCCATCTGTCTATGAATCATCACAATATATTTAATAAGAATAAAATAAGAATAAAATAATGGCAACATGAATGCTGTTCTTATGATCAGTTTCTATCCTTTTCCTACAGCATTTCTTCAGAGTCGCTGCTAAATGGTGAGTACACCAGTTGTAATATCTGGGTGATTGGTTTTACTGGCTGACTTTGTTACACTCTCTTTTAAGTACTGTATAACACTACAGAGCAGGAAAACATCAGCCAGTTGGGGCACCATGGTAGAAATAGGAGCTAACCACCTCCTCAAGGTGGAGAGTGGCAAAACATAACAGGTTTTGGACACCTTGAGTCCAGCCCTGGATGATGGAATAATGAAGAAAATTTCTTAATGCCGGTATAGCTTATGACTCAAGTCTGTTGTTTCCTTTCTGGGCTGCAGAGAAAATAATAATATAGTGCTTTCTCTTTTGAAGTGCTTTCCTCCCATTGATGAGCTGGCAGCAAACTATACCAAGATAAAATTTGTTGCTCCCTCATGTCGATATCTATCCTGCCTCTATTACTCCCAATTCCAGCCTGCAGGAAGTTTTACTTATTTTTTTATATTTAAATCCTACCTTTTTATTGGAGCTAGTGTGACCCTTTGCAGCTGGATAAACTCTGAATCCCTGTCTCATCTTCTGTTTTCCATATTTTTGAAGTGCTTTTTTTTTTAACTCTGAAAATTTACTTTGCTCCTCTCCCTCTTCCATTGTTAAATGTTGATTTGAGGTTGTGGCTGATCCAAGTCTGATTCAAATGGGAAGAAGCAGCACATAGCAAAAGCTTCCAAAGACCAGGTGAGCTACAAATTGCAGGTAAGATAGTATATGTTTAAATATTTATGCATCAACACCCCCCCCCCAAGTAAATATATTTTTTTTTTGTAAATTTTATTTGAGTTTTCACAAAAAGAAAGAAACACAATTAAAACATCTTTTTTGAAAGCAGCATAATCCCGGGTTACATTTCTTCGTGCAGACACAATTTCAGGTTCATGCTCATTTTTATATTCTATTCCATATCTTATTACAATTTTACATTTTCTACATAACTTCTCCCCTCTTCTAATTTCCTCGATTTTATTGTATTTATTTCATCTCAATTCAAATCATTATATTTATATTTTTTGTCTGTCCTGTTTCAATTGTCTATTATCTTTTCTCATTAAACAAAATTTCTCCTGTAGTTACTGATTGGAGAATGACGCCTTTATATCTTTCCCCTAAAGTTATGTCCAGAAATCTTTATTGTTCCTTTGGCATTTAGTTATATTTTCAGCTTAATTGCCTATTGATGCCATTTTATCCCTCATTCTAATCATATGTTGTTTCCAATTTTCTAAAGTTATTTCTATTACAAATATAACAATACAATCTTATGTACCTTTACAGAATCCTTTTTTCAGTTAGATTTTCACCCATTATCTCTAAATAGGTCCTGTTTCTTTATATCTTGCTCCGGACCTTTGTAACTTCTTTTCCTTTCCTTCTTCCCTCTCTTCTTCTCCCTCCCCTTTTTACCCCTTTGTCTCTCTACCTCTATTTCTCTCTTCTGTATTCCCCTTTTCTGTTGCTTTCCAGTATTATACTTATTTTTTGAATTATTTTTCTTTTCTTTGGTTGTTTTTTTAAGTCTTAAATTCTCCATCCTCTTTCCCCCCTTTCCTTTTTCTTCCCCACATAGAGTTACTTGGTCATTAAAGATGGCTTCTTCTTTGTCCCAGTCTTCTTGTTTTGCAGTCTTTTCTTGTTGTTTCTCATAGTTCCAAATCTCCATTTCTAAGAATTGAAAAACGAAGCCAAAAGAACCCTTCCCTTCTTGTGCATCTTCTTTGTACTTTTTAAGTTCCATTTTCAATTCATCCAAAAGTGATGCCATTGTAGAAATTTTTAAACAACCACCCGATTGATTTTAGTCATTCAAATATAATAACCAAAAATCCAAAAGTCACCAAGTAATCCAAATACACGCAAGCTGTTTCTTTTTGCTCTTTCTTTTTCCCCCCACTTTCTCTTTCTGGGGTTACTGTTTAGTTGCAAAGTTTCAGTTAAAATGTATCTTTTAGAAGTCTTATTAAAATTTTACTTTGGATTCTTTTAAAGTCCAGGCAGTCTCCTCCCTCTTCCAGATCCTGCCCTTATTCTTTTTCTCTCCCTTCCTGCTTATAGAAGAAAAAAATTTTAATGTCCAGAAATCTTTATTGTCCCTTTGGCATTTAGTTATATTTTCAGCTTAATTGCCTATTGATGCCAAAGCGGATTTTTCCAATTTCTTATTTAGGTCTCTTAGTTGTCAATATAAGGAAGGAGAGAGAAGAAGAAAAAAGCCAAGCCTTTCCCTTTTCACTTTCTTTCGCTGCTTCCAACTCTTTGGGAGCAATGTTATTTCTTGTAAAATTTAAATTCCAGGGTACCTTAGTTATTGCTTTTTCAACTTAGCCTGGTCAGCCAAAACTTTCACTTCTTATCTTTCTCCTGCACGTTCTTTTCCGGTTGAGTACTTCTTTGAGGTGGCCATTTCTGACCGCTCCTACCGCCTTCGGGGAAGGGAGTTTGACCAGCTGAGGAGGAAAGATGTGGCTCTCCTCGACCCTGCTGGCAGTCTCCCCCTTCTTCACCACCTCTATGGTGTGGCT